CGGACCTGGAAACTGTTTTCAACGACCAGGTCCGTGGCGGCCACCATGGGAGCAGATCTCCTCGCGGAGCCCCTGCTACACAACCCCCAACTCCGTGTGCAGGTGGCGGAGTCCCGCTCGGTATGCCAGAGTTTGGTCCTGGTGGAAGTCACGAGAGTCGGAGACCGCCTGGACTACGACCGGGGAGACTGGCTGGATCCCCTGACCCTCGCTCGGCGCATGGGGCTCTCCAGACCTCGTACCCCCCGGTGCATACTTCAGGAGGTGAAGGCCGCCTTGAGGCCCGCTGCTCGGGCTTATCTCAACCGAGCCCTGTGCGAGGGCGCACCCCGCCCACCCTCTACCCCAGGCCCGCCGGACCTTTCAATTGGGCCCCTACCCCGTAGATCCCAACAAACCCCTCAGCCTTTCACTGCGAGCCAGCTGCATGAACTGCAGCTGGTCAGCTTCCAAACCGCGCCAAGGAAACATCTATATACACTCATGCTTTACACCCTTCACGCCCACACCCTGGTGTCCCGCCCCAATACAAAGTGGCAGGATCTCCTGCCACCTTTGGAGGGTAAGCAGCCCTGGTGGGCCAGCCTGTATTCCACCTTGGTCCCGAGGCCCGTCGGGGACATTAGTTGGCGGCTCCTTCATGGATCTGTGAGCACAGGCGTGTTTTTGACGCGGTTCACCCCCATCCCGGATACTTGCCCTTTTAGCAACGTGAGGGAAACCCTGGCACACATATATTTAGAGTGTGCCAGGCTGCAGCCCCTTTTCCGGCTCCTCACGAATATTTTATTATGCTTTTGGCTACACTTTTCCCCTCACATTTTTATCTACACACTCCCCATCCGTGGCCCCACAAAGTCGCGGGATCTCCTGGTTAACCTCCTCCTAGTCCTAGCTAAAACAGCCATCTATAAAACCAGAGAGGGGAGGCTGGCTAATGAAGCGTCCTGCGACTGTAGGGCCGTTTTCCAATCCTCAGTACATTCACATATCCGGGCGGAGTTCCTCTGGGCGGCGTCCACCGACTCCCTTGATGCCTTCGAGGAGCGCTGGGCGCTGTCCGAGGTTCTCTGCTCGGTGACCCCGTCTGGTTCCCTCCGTCTGACCCTTTGATTGAGGGGAAGAGCGAGAGACCCCAGCCCCAGCCGTTGCTGCTGTGGATACCATCATCACTGTCACCTAGGAGGGGTCCTATCACACGTGGGTGGACGTCCCCTCCACTCCCAAACCGCCCACCCCGCAGCCATGCCCATGTTGTCAGGCACTCTCAGGAGAGGAGTAATCGGTGACACTGGGCGTGGCACTAGGTAACTCGAGGGGGTGCAAGACCACGAGTGTCGACGAAGCCCCCCTGCTCTGGGCCCAGGCTAGCCTGAAAACTTCGCCCTCCTGAAGGCTGCTGGGTTATACCCTGCGTTTGCTTTTGTTTTGTTGCATAGTTTTTGCTTGATCCTTTTTGGTGATTCTTTGTAAGTGTTACAAAAATAAAATTCTTTTCTGCTTCCAAAAAAAAAAAAAATTACTCTCCTGTAGCTCCTGGATCCCAATAGGATTATTGTCCTGTAGCCATCTGGCCCGACCCTGTCACAATGCATATAGAACTTACCCTACTGGATCAGACCAGTGGCCCAGCTAGTCCTGTAACCAGTCTCTCTTGGTATCAAATACTTAAAAAAGAGAGGTACAAGTAACCCCATACTAGACAATTATGGTATATCTTGCCAATAGAGATGTTTTTTTCCAATCCCCTGTCAGCTAGTGGTTGGATTACAGTTAAAAAAAAAGAGTACCCTAATATAACTGCAGGTGGCCACATAATCCATATAAATACCAAATACGAAGAGAAGCACGGCCCAAAAGGTGGCCACCACCACAAGCTGCAGATAAAACACAGTGTCCCCCCCCCGCTCCCCCAACACTCACTTGTTCATGAGTCACTTGCAAAGAGGAAAGCTCTGCCCCCACCGGACCTCCAAGGTGGCTCAGGGTTCACTGATGGAAGCTGTTTGGCAGCTTGAGAATGCCGTTCAAATACAGTTCAAACAACTGCTTAGTTTGCCCCAACTATTTAATTTCACCCCAGCTATTTCTTTCCCCAAATCCTTCTACAGGGGAGAAGACTGCCCCTCGCTGGCCACCACCCAGAGCAACTTCCAGCCCACCGGAGCAACGTTTGGGACGCTTTGCTTCGGACTTAGAGCATGAGGAAGGGGGGGCACCTGCTGAGAGATTTATCAGATGGGCTATTGATCCTCCCCTTTCTCCAAAGTGTGAATGGGGTTAGTTCGGGTGGGTGGGGGGGGAGGGTTGTTCCTCCCTCCCCCGGAATAAAGCTGCGGTAAGCAGCTTCCCTGGGGCTGAGGAGAAGGACCAAGCCGCCGGCCACTCCTGCTAGTGACAAGTGAATCGGGGGTGGTGGGGTGTCAGATGGAGGGGCAGGGACGGAAGCAGGCCAGGGCAGCCCCGAAACCCTGTCCCCACGCCGAACCTCGCCTCAGCGCAGCGCTAGTCTCCTGGGGCGGGGGGGGGGGGAAGGGTACGACTCGGCGTTCTAACCGCGCGTGCCCACCTCCGGTCGCTTCGCGCCTTTCCTCCCGCGGCCTCCTCCCGCCTTCAGCGCGCGCGGCTTCGAGCAGCTCCGCCGAGGTGCGCGAGGCTGCTGCGTATGCGGGCGCTCGGGACTCGATGGACTAAGGAGCCTGGTGGGCGCGCGCGCCTGGGGGTGAGCGCCGAGCTGGCGCGGGCAGCTAAGCAGCGTCTAGGTAGAGTGTGGCTGCGAGGGGCGCCAGCAGCAGCAGCGTCCTGCTGGGTGATGGGGCCAGGTGTCAGCGCGAGGCGCTGAGTTCCCTCCCTATGCAAAGCATATACCGAATAGGGAGATGCGTATGGGGCCCAAACATGCGCCGTAGATATAGCCCAGCACATGACGAGAAAACCGGCCTCCTGCGAACAGCAAGTTGCTGCGGCTGTCACCTTGCGCCCCAGATCATTGCCGTGGCGCTTCGGAGCTCCGCCTCGCTGCTCTCCCGCCACTTTTCAAGATTTGAGTTTGCCCTCTCCTCGCCCAAGGCCGGGTACCAGGGCAATGTAGACCACACAGCGCCCCTGCAGTCCAAGCGGTCCCATGCCACACGGCATGTCTGGCAGGAAAGGAGGAATCACATTAAAGCCCCCCAATTTTTCCTGAAGGGCCACGGGGCACATTCTGCGTCAGACTGAAACGAAACGCTGCCTGCACTATGCGCACAGTGCGACGGCCGGGCTTCCGGGCACTGTTAAATCATCGCCACGTGGCTGAAACTATTAAATTTACAATCGCCGGATTCCCTTCAGGCCAGGTGTAGATAATAAGTTGGAGGTAAGGCCATTGCCATCCATTAGTGTTGCTGAAGTATAGCTTGACTTTAATTAATAGAAGTTGCCCGAATAAATTAGCAAAATGAGATAGGAGGGGAATTACATATTTCTGTGGCAATATTTTAGGATTACTGCATTTCCTCTTTTCATTGAAGCGTTGACTGCTAATTGATACTGAAGAGTTTTGACTTCACTGGTTTGTGTAGCTGTGACAATCCCGCTACAGTTGTAAATGGCATAACCAGGGTCATAACGTGGTTACTGAATGGCTTGGAGGCAAAGAAAATGACATTTAAGGAGATGATCAAATCATCAGTACAGAATTCACAAGTCAGTGTAATGAAACGGATTTGCATGGCTAAAAATTTAAGTTTTGCCAAGCTAAACAGTTACAGATAGTTGGAAAAATTTGATGAAAAACAGACAAAAATGTTTTCATGTAATTTTACCCTCATTTTCAACCAGTTTATTCAAGCTAGGGGCCCAGAATAGGACTTCATTTTAGGCAGTAGTATTCTGCACAACATGCCTATTTGGTGGTAACATCTATTTCTAAACTGGCAATAGGTTGCTGCCCCCATACTGAACTATTTATTCTGTTTTTTTCACTTCTTCTGAAGTTATGCTCATTTTTTCTCCATTTTTAATGTGAGATTTCTTGGTTTACAGATTTCATTGCGGAATTCCCTCCTTACATCGCTGCTTGCCTTCTCTGGCTTCTCCTGTTAAGTGGGACTTCTCATACTTCAGGGGAATTTTTTATGAATGCGGTGTACTGAACTGTTTGGCACAAACTGTCAGCATACCACACTGTACTGAACTGGTACACAAGGATGATTGGGATGTGGCCTTGGGAGATGAGAGATCAGCAAGGCCTATGGAAAAGGGAGCTTCAAGGGGAGCTCTAGCTCCAAAGCAGCCTGAGGAGTGAGGTGTCACCAAGAGCAATTGACAAGAGGAGACCACCTGTGGAGGGGGGTGGTCCTGGAGACAGGGATCCCATTAACAGTAGGTGGGATGCAGGGAACTGTTCCCCTAGGAAGCAGCAGCTCTCAGGGCCAGATCTTTTGCTGGAGGGTGGGGGCTGTCCCGATTTTATAGGGACAGTCCTGATTTTTGGGTCTTTTTCTTATATAGGCACCTGTTACCCCTCGCTCCAGTCCCGATTTTTCACATTTGCTCTCTGGTCTCCCCAGCGGAGGGGTCCTTTGGAGGAAGTGAAAAACAGGACTCTGCCGGACACAGCAGCGTGGGCAGGTGTCAGCTGGAAGTGGGGGGAAGGGCCGAATGGGAAGGGGGCGGGGCTCAGAGTCTTAGGTACTGCTTAGGGCGTTTCCCTCTCGCAGCCGCACGTGACCCCGAGGTTGATGACGGCCCTCTGGTGGGGGAGGGTTGGTCGGAGGGCGCGAGACTGTGTCCCTTCCCCGCCCCTGTTGTAACCAAACGGCGACGCAACAGTTTCTTAGAATTAAAGGAGAAAACAGCCCGTAGTACTGGGAAAAGCCTCTAATTCATCGTTCGACCAATGAGGGGCCGGCGGGGAAAGGCGGGGGAGACGGGCTCCGATAGGCCGGGCGCTGCCGGAGATCCAATCAGCTTGCGCGCGGGGTGACAAGACTGCCCCGAGACGGGCTGGGGGGGGGGGAGAGTCACTCCGCCGCCGCCGAGGGCCGCTGCTAGGAGTTGGGGGGGCGCGCGCGCACGCTGCTGCTGCTGAGGAGCAGGGGCGATGGCGGCGGGTGCCTGCGAGGCCTGGCGGGGCCGTTACTACCGGCTGGAGGAGATCCAGGCGCACAACCACAGCCAAAGCACCTGGATCCTCCTGCACCACCGCATCTACGACCTCACCAAGTTCCTGGAGGAGGCGAGTGCCGGATCCGGGGCGCGCTGGGATCGGCAGGCGGCGGCGCTCGCCCGGGCTGCTGGAGAGTTTGAACCCCGAGGCGGAGGGTGGGGTGCTGGGGGCGGGCTGGGCACTCGCAAGCCGGGGACGGGGGGTGGGGGCGAAACTTCTGACCACCTGTATCGTAACGTCCCGCTGACGCGTAGGCCTCTGGGGTCAGCGCCTGAGCAAAGATGGTTGCGTCCCCGCGTAGGGGGAAGGGTGCGGTCCCCCCGTTGGGAGCACGTGGGGATATCCCTTTACATCAGTTTGAAGAAGTACCCGGTGTGTGGAGGAGGATCAGGAGGGGCTAAACTGGGGTGGGGGGGGGGGCAGTTGCTGCTCAGCGTTGCTTTTGAGGCTGTTGGTTTGGACAAGTTAGGAGGGCTTGACAATTGCAGTTGGTTCTTGTGCAGCGTTTGCTAGAAAGCGTCTTTCCCTCTGAGGGGGAAAGGGCGATAGGTTTGTCGGCTCGCCGGGGTAGAGAGGTCAAAAACATAACCTTGCCTAATTCTTTGCGCAGTTAAGCGCATGCTCTCCGAAGCCCGGGACCCTGCTGGTTTCAACACATGGGTCCCCAAAACGTCACAGTCATTCTCCTGAAAACCTGACGTGTTGAAAACTTGATGTCCAGGGCATATGATATCCTCTGGTTTCACTCTGTGCGTTTTAATGCTGTCTGTTTGCCTTTTTTCCCTTTAAAAGTCCCTTTAAACAGCATGGAAAAGTTACATTTAAGAGAATGTTAATGTGATAAAGTTAATGCTCACTCACTAACTTCCAACAGTTAAGCTTGTAGGCTTGTGTTAGAGTAATCTTTAACTGCATGATCACTTTTCTTTTTTCAGGTTTCAGAGTAGCAGCCCTATTAGTCTGTATTCACAAAAAGGAGTACTTGTGGCACCTTAGAGACAAACCAATTTATCTGAGCATAAACTTTCATGAGCTACAGCTCACTTCTGTACAGCTCACTTCTGATGTAGCTCATGAAAGCTTATGCTCAGATAAATTGGTTAGTCATTCTAAGGTGCCACAAGTACTCCTTTTCTTTTTTCAGAGCCCTTGACTTATTTAGGAATGAATGTGATGGTGCATAATTGACATTGTTTCCAATAACTTAATAAAGCAGCAATGAAGAGAGCAATTGTGTACTGTACAAATTCCCTAACCAATTTTTTGAAAGAATCTTCTTAATTATGATTTTAAAATTAAATTATCTAATTTGGCAGTGCATTCATCTTGTATCCTTGGTTCATTCACTGTGAAGTATTCAATTTATATATGATCAAAATTTTGCTCTGCTATTCAAAATATGTACAGGTGTGGCTTCAGTTAATTCAAGGGAGTTATTCCAAATTTACTGTAACTTTGAATAGACTTTGGCTCAGAATATGCAGGTCTGTAGAACTGAGGCCTCCAATTATTTCAAAACCCTGCTTTGGAATTTAAATTGCTTATGTCCTGAAGCACAAGTATTTAAAGCACGAGTACTCTAAGGTTTTGTCAGAACAAAGGTACCTGGTTTCAGAGTGTTAGCCCTGTTAGTCTGTATCAGCAAAGTACCTGTAGCTTTAACTAACCGCTGGTGCAGCTTTACTGGTAGAAGCTGTAGCGTAGACAGAACGTAGGTGTCTTCGCCACCATTTATGTGAAATGCTCAAGTCATACGTCTACAGTAGTGTCCACTGTATGAGTGATGCATTACTGGTGAGACGCATACTAGTGTAGAGACAGCCATAGAGAACTCAGATTGTTATGATTTGAAACGTGGGGGCTTAAAAGACACTTAAGGACTATATAAAAGTATGTGAAGCTTGCAAAGTAAAATGCTCAGGCTTACAAAAGTGCAGGATTGAGTTCCATGTATTCATTAGTAACCTTTAACAGAGTACTGAGTCATATTCTGTGTGAAGAAGGGTTTATCTGCTGTTGAAGGTAACATTTAAAATACTATCAACTAAAAGATTAGAGGAGAAAAAATTATCTCATCTGCAATTTAGATGATACATAGAACCCAAGCCTTGTTAATCTATAAATCTTTGCCCAGTTGGGGATGGGGGTTGAATTAAAGTAGCATAAATCTGAATAGGCTTAGATGTGGTGAGTACATGAGACCTGCCTATAATGTAGCTACTGCTGTTGCTATCACAAGTGGAACTGCACCTGTGGTGAATGATGGCCATCATACTTGCTTGTGCAGACAAGGCCCATGTGTAACTGACAACAAAATGCTGTGGGTGAAGAGATTTCATGCAGCTACTGAAATTGGTAATATCAGATTTCAGAGAAGCAGCTGTGTTAGTCTGTATCCGCAAAAAGAAAAGGAGAACTTGTGGCACCTTGGAGTCTAACAAATTTATTTGAGCATAGGCGTTCGTGACCTACAGCTTTTCCACTGAATGCATCCGATGAAGTGAGCAGTAGCTCACGAAAGCTTATGCTCAGATAAATTTGTTAGTCTCTTAAGGTGCCACAAATCATCCTTTTCTTTTTTAGTAATATCAGAGCGGCGCGTTCCGAAGGACATGCTGGCTGCTGCTCTCCGCAGCCCCCATTGGCCTGGAACGGCGAACCATGGCCAGTGGGAGCCGCAATCTGCTGAACCTGCGGATGTGGCAGGTAAACAAACCGGCCCTGCCCGCCAGGGGGCTTACCGGAGCGGGCCACATGCCAAAGATTGCTGATCCCTGCATTAAGCTATTAAGGTAAACTAAGAATTTTCACCCAACTTGGAAACTTGACTTTTGATGACTTTGTAATGGAAAAGTCATTTCTTTCAAGCCTAATCTCCATTGACTAGTTCTTACATTTGTCACTTTCATTTAAGAGGGTGTAGTACAGTATTATTTTTCTTTTTTTGTCTTCTACAGAGCACTGAGCACTTCAGTGGGGATGTTTGTAGGTATGTGAGTTTGTCCATTTAATGAGTAAGATAAATGGGAAGACCTTCACTGACATGTAAAGTTTTGAAACATCATTTATATTTAGTAAATGTTTAGCAGGTCAAGGTACAAAGAAATCATTGGGTTGTGTATTTTGTCTACTGTATGGCTGGCAAGTATGTATGACTATCTGAAGTTTTGATTTACTGTTAAGTTTTACCAGCATAGCTGTCAGTAGTGTGAAAAAATTACAACCCTAATGGGGGTTCCTCCCCCACTCTGAACACTAGGGTACAGATGTGGGGACCTGCATGAAAACCTCCTAAGCTTATCTTTACCAGCTTAGGTCAAAAACTTCCCCAAGGTACAAAATATTCCACCCTTTGTCCTTGGATTGGCCGCTACCACCACCAAACAAATACTGGTTACTGGGGAAGAGCTGTTTGGAAATGTCTTCCCCCCCCCAAATACTTCCCAAAACTTTGCACCCCACTTCCTGGACAAGGTTTGGTAAAAAGCCTCACCAATTTGCCTAGGTGACTACAGACCCAGACCCTTGGATCTTAAGAACAATGAACAATCCTCCCAACACTTGCACCCCCCCCCCCCCTTTCTTGGGAAATGTTGGATAAAAAGCCTCACCAATTTGCATAGGTGACCACAGACCCAAACCCTTGGATCTGAGAACAATGAAAAAGCATTCAGTTTTCTTACAAGAAGACTTTTAATAGAAATAGGAGTAAATAGAAGTAAAGAAATCCCCTCTGTAAAATCACGATGGTAGATACCTTACAGGGTAATTAGATTCAAAAACATAGAGAACCCCTCTAGGCAAAACCTTAAGTTACAAAAAAGATACACAGACAGAAATAGTTATTCTATTCAGCACAATTCTTTTCTCAGCCATTTAAAGAAATCATAATCTAACACATACCTAGCTAGATTACTTACTAAAAGTTCTAAGACTTCATTCCTGGTCTATCCCCAGCAAAAACAGCATATAGACAGACAGAGACCCTTTGTTTCTCTCCCTCCTCCCAGCTTTTGAAAGTATCTTGTCTCATCATTGGTCATTTTGGTCAGGTGCCAGCGAGGTTACCTTTAGCTTCTTAACCCTTTACAGGTGAGAGGAGCTTTCCCCTGGCCAGGAGGGATTTCAAAGGGGTTTACCCTTCCCTTTATGTTTATGACAGGGGTAGATGCAATTATACTGGCAAAAAATTCCATTTGCTGGTGTAACTTATTACATTTGGGGAAGTGGCTCAAACTATACCAGCAAAAGAACTCTTTGGCTAGTATCAGCTGTCTCTCTACTAGGGAGGGCTGTTCCATTGTATCTGTATTGGCAAACCCTTTTAAATGTAGACAAGGCCTAAGTTACTTGCTGTGGATAAGAGATCCTACTTTTAGAGTCTAAGAAGTCTTTCCACTAACTTCAGCATGCTTTGGATCAGACCCGATGTGTGGATATAAATATACATGCTCCTAATTGGTTAAGAGCCAGCATATTTTCATTTCCTTTTATTATTTGTTGATATCTTGAGCAGAGAATTAGTTTAATTGTTTCCTTCCCTCTTTCTCAAGAAAGCATGTATTCACTTAATGGCTGATATAATACTATTCATGTTTTCTGAAACAATGTTTGTCTGAAGTGGCTTTCTCTTCTATTTGGGGGCTATTTATTTCCAAGCATAGTATATGTAAAAATACTCAAAGCATTTCTTTAAAGCTGGATTAACCCTTTCTGAATACTTTTTTGTTATGCAAGTAACTTTGCTGTCCAACAGGTTCTGTTGATTCAGTTTGTTAAACATACTGTACATTTTAAAGGTAGTCAAGTTTAGTGCTCAATTAAGACCTTTGTCCTGGCCTTTCACCACATAGTTATCAAAACTGATTCATGGGCAGATTTGTAACGAGTGCCTCATCTGCCTTGTGTAATCTCTCTTCTGCATACCCTCTTTTAACCTTTTTTGGCTCAGTTGCTAAGTGTAATCTTTACTCTTTGCACTTGTTTAGCCTCTCCCTCTTTTGCTTAGTCATTGTGGATAAGCATAGATCGGACTTTAAAGAACTTCTAAGGTTACACAATAAACATATTTAAAATAATGAGAATTAGTACAATTTATGGGCATTTTGGCACTGCCACGCTACTTGAAACTCTGGTAGCAGCAACTATTTCCTTGTGATAAGAGTGAGCAGGGATTATTTTCTTAACTTCAGAAGATGGGCAGGGGCAGCAGGCTATAATGCCTGTACACACAGTTCAGAGCAGCTCAAGTGTGTAATCAGAGCTTTTTTTTCCTGTGCTTCAACTATAGGGCCTTTCTGTCCATCGTGGCTCAGGCATGGCTGAACTTAGATTACAGGAGGAAACTTGTCTGCCACTAATTTTTATTAATTCATACTTATATATATAATATACAATTATATCCCCGAATCCACATTAAAAACATTGTGCTTGCCAAGTAAAACGCTTGAAGGTTAGATTGCCTATGTAACTTTAATTTGGCTCCCTAGTGTGTTTGCATTATGGTACATGATTACATACTATTTTTTTCACAGCATCCCTGCCTCATTCTGTGACTGGCTTGTTATGCCATATTTCTGTCCTTCCCATTCAATGTTTGGCCTCCGGCTTTAATTAGTGCACATCACCTAAACTCTTTGCTGATTTCAAAAATAATTTCCTCATAGGCATTTTTCTGGTGCTCTGATCATAGGATCTGACTACTATGCAGACGTTAATTAAACTTCACAACACTTCAGTGAAATTAGGTGTATTACCCCCATTTAATAGTTGGGGAACTAAGACATAAAGAGATTAAGGCTGAAATTGTCAATGTTCGCTAGTTTTGAGAGCCCAAATAGAGACTCCTTCTGTACTGCTGCTAGTGGCGGCGCTGCCTTCAGAGCTGGGCGGCCAGAGAGCAGCAACTGCTGGCTGGGAGCTCAGCTCTGAAGGCAGCGGCACAGAAGTAAGGATGGCATGATATGTTGTTGCTACCCTTACTTCTGCACTGCTACCTTCGAGGCTGGGCTCCTTGTCAGCAGCCACTGATCTCTCACCACCCAGCTCTGAAGGCAGTGCAGAAGTAAGGGTGGCAATACCCTGACTCCCCTACAATAACCTTGCAATCCCTGCACAAACCACTTTTGGGTCAGGACCCCCAGTTTGAGAAAAGCTGGTCTCCCCTGTGAAATCTGGTCTTTTTTTGTACTTTTACCTTATACTATACAGACTTCACTGGGGAGAACAGATTTCACGGTCTGTGATATATTTTTCATGGCCGTAAATTTGGTAGGGCCCTAGTCCTAGATACTGGCTGGTTTAGGGGAGTGGTAATAGGATGAGGTTTTCAGTTAGTTTACTGGTTTATGATTTGGGTTCAGTGTAACTTAATTATCAATTACATACAAGTCCACTTGGCCGTATTGGCAGAGAAGTGTTGAATGGATGTTGTGAGAACAGTTCTCCTCATTCTCTTTCCAACCCTGTGGTACATCCAGTATAGTTCAAATGAAAAGTGAGAGGAAGCTTGTATTGCTTTTGGCTCTGCTACTCCTCTTATGAATAAGTAGAAGGCTTCATTCTCCTGTAACCTGTGGACATCTTATCGGAGCGCTGATTTTGCTTTTAAAACAGTGTCATCAATTGTGCATTTCAGATTAACGCTGCCTTGCTGTTCTTGGATTCTGTCAGCTGAAATCTCACTGGTCTGACTTGTACTGATTATAGTTCTCAGAAATAACGAAGAAGAGAATACTCTTCTCTTTTTCATGATTAGTGCATTTGATAGCTCTTATACACAGCAGTAGCAGATTTTTTTCATAAAGAAAATATGGCTGTGAAACCACATTGGCAGAGAGAATTGAGCAGATGTAATCATTTTGAATGCCAGCATTCCTTTGCGTTACATTATGTGTAGCTATAAGAGTTATGAGGTAACATTTTCAAAAGCAAGGTTTCTAGTTTTGGTTTACAGATACTAGGGAGACTCTAAAGATATATAAAGCTTTAATAAAATAAAAACTCATTTGTTGCCCTCATTATTGAAGTCCATATCGTGTAGTATGGTAGGATTTGTTTCAACTGTCATAAGAAGTGTAAATAATCCCTATGTAGGAAAAGTGTTGTAGCATTGTTTAAAGTTAATTTGCTTATGTATTTAACTTTCTGTCATGCCTTGACTAATTCTGTCAGGAATGTCAGATGCTGCTTCTAGCAATTGTAGTCCTCCAAGTGGAAGTTTTGAATGAAAAAATTATAGTTTAGAATGTAGGCAAGAAAGCAGTTTTGCAAAAGGGAATTGGGGGAAAAAATAAGGGAAAGGATTTTATTTTCACTGTGTGTAAACCATGGGGCTCTTTTTAAAATATTGAAGAAAACTGAATATCCTTTAGAACATGCCCAACACATTTTTTTTTCATAATTAAAGTCTGGTTTTGTTACCCAGGGTTCTTTCAACCCAAAGCTCTTGGTAACTTTTACTCTGTGCGAGGTGGTGTCAGGAAATAAATCGGGGGAGACAGGGCCGTCCCACCGATAAATGGCTGGCACAAACAGAACAACACGAGTGCTTTCACTTAAAGCTAAACTTTACTTAGTCTCAAACACTTACACATGTCCTCAACAGGTTAGTAAAACACCCCCAACCCTTGATAATTAGCAAAGCTGAGTGTGCCTCTCAAGTGACACAGCGGCAGGCTTCCGGTGGCCAAATCTTCCGTCTGTCAGTGGGACTGCAAGATGTATCCAGAGAGAGTCCAAAAAGAATTCAACTACCTCAAACTTTCTCCCCTTATTTATACGTTAGTAATAGAATGACATGTCCCTTAAAGAAAACTTATTAAGTAAGCATTTTCAATGGTCAAGCAAGAGATTCCTTCTGATTATCGATTAACCAGAGTTTGCAGCCTTGAGGCCCCAATAGTCATCCCTGGGGCACATCCTGCTCTTCTAAAATGCATGTATCAGCAACTTCAACACAATTCTTATCAGGAAGGACACGGGGTCAAGCTGCCTGTTCTGTGGCACCCAAAACCCCCTCCCCTCCTGCCTTGGTCAAACAGAGTGCTGAATGTCCAATTTACAGCTTGCTGACTTGGCTGCTTTTTAGCAATAATCCATAGTGGTTTCAGGCACTTTGGCAAACCAGTAAAGTCTCCCCGTTCAGTTTGACATCTGAAAAATCCTTCCACCTTCTGTGACTTCTGGAAAATACTAGATTTTTCAGTAACGGTGTATGAGTTCTGAATTTTTTATTCTCTCACAGCATCCAGGTGGTGAAGAAGTCCTAAGGGAACAAGCTGGAGGAGATGCTACTGAAAGTTTTGAAGATGTCGGCCATTCCACAGATGCCAGAACACTGTCTGAGACATTCATTATAGGGGAGCTTCATCCTGTGAGTACATTATCAGTGTACAAATATTAATGTCACTGCAATTTTCAGTGTTTAGACATTTCTGTGATAAGCACACTAAAAATAGAGCTGGTAACCATCATGCTAGCAGACCTCCTTATTCCACCATAGCAGCTAACTTTGGGTGAAGCCAGACTGCTCTTTCGTGCTCAGGCAGAAGCTGAGAGTTGAGCACTCTGAAGTGCTCAGATAATGTGGTATCAAATCATGGTAAGGGTACAGTTTATATCTCCTCTTTGAAATACATTACAGCTGGAGTTTTAACTTAGGTTGACAAATAACACTACAGAACACTAAATCATACTGCACTCTCCAATCTGTACATCATGATCTCCCTAAAGATAAGATATAATTCTTTAAAATAGTATATCTGTGAATTTGTGTAAATCTTTTATATCTACTGTACTGAAGGAAGTATTCAATTTTCATTAACCTCTTGCAGAGGATATATAAACTGAAATTGGACAGGGTCTTGTGTAGTCCATATCTGTGCCATTATTCATTGGAACAGAAGTGAATTTCAGAATCTATGCTTCGTTACTTTGGTTGTCAAGATAATACTGAAAACATGAGGAGACTATAAATGATTAAACTGTTAAAACAGAGTTCTAAATCTTCACCTCCAGCTTCTTTTTTTGATCACCATGAAAAACACTGCCATCCGATCTGTCACTCGGGCCTATAACCTGGGCATCATCTTTGATTTAGACCTCTAATTAGTTCCTTGCATCCAGGCTATCTTTAAGTCTTGCTGATTCTTTTACATAACATCTCTAAGGGTATGTCTACACTACGAAATTAGGTCGATTTTATAGAGGTCGATTTTTAGAAATTGATTTTATACAGTCGATTGTGTATGTCCCCCCAAGCGTATTAAGTCAGTGTGTCCTCAATGCTGTGGACTTAAGGAGCGGTGCACTGTGGGTAGCTATCCCACAGTTTCTGCAGTCTCCGCTGCCCGTTGGAATTCTGGGTTAAGCTCCGAATGCCTGGGCAAAAACATTGTTGAGGGTGGTTTTGGGTACATGTAGTCAGTCGCCCCTCCCTCCGTAAAAGCAACGGCAGACAATCGTTTCGTGCCTTTTTTCCTGAGTTACCTGTGCAGACGCCATAGCACAGCAAGCATGGAGCCCGCTCAGCTCACCACTGCTGTTGTGAGCATTGTAAACACCTTGCGCATTATCCTGGAGTATGTGCAGTTCCGGGCTAAGAGACGCCAGCATGAGGACGATTGTGAGGAGGACATGGACACACGTTCCTGAAAGCATGGGCTGTGGCAATTAGGACATCATGGTGGCAGTGGGGCTGGTTGATACAGTGGAATGCTGATTCTGGGCCCGGCAAACAAGCACAGACTGGTGGGACCTCATAGTGTTGCAGGTATGGGATGATTCCCAGTGGCTGCGAAGTTTCGCATGTGTAAGGCCACTTTTCTTGATCTTTGTGAGTTGCTTGTCCGCACCCTGAAGCACAGGAATACCAAGATGAGAGCTGCCCTGACCGTTGAGAAGCAAGTGGCGATAGCCCTGTGGAAGCTTGTCAGTTGGGAATCAATTTGGAGTGGGCAAATCTACTGTGGGGACTGCTGTGATCCAAGTAGCCAATGCAATCACTGATATTCTGCTATCAAGGGTAGTGACTCTGGGAAATGTGCAGGTCATAGTGGATGGCTTTGCTGCAGTGGGGTTCCCTAACGGTGGTGGGGTGATAGATGGAACGCATATCCTTATCTTGGCACCAGACCACCTTGCCAACCAGTACATTAACGGCAAGGGGTACTTCTCACTGGTGCTGCAAGCACTGGTGGATCACAAGGGAGGTTTCACCAACATCAATGTGGGATGGCCGTGCATGGCACTCGATCTTTAGGAACTCAGGGCTGTTTGAACAGTTGCAAGAAGGGACTTACTCCAGTAACCGCTGGGGATGTTGAAATGCCAATAGTTATCCTTGGGGTCCCAGCCTACCCCTTAATGCCATGGCTCATGAAGCTGTACACAGGCAGCCTGGACAGTAGTAAGGAGCAGTTCAACTATAGTCTGAGCAAGTACAGAATGGTGGTAGAATGTGCCTTTGGATGTTTAAAAGCTCACTAGCGCTGTTTGCTGACTAGGTTAGACTTCAGAGCAACCAACATTCCCATTGTTATTGCTGCTTGCTGTATGCTCCTTAATATCTGTGAGTAAGGGGGAGACGTTTATGGCGGGGTGGGAGGTTGAGGCAAATCACCTGGTGGCCAATTTTGAGCAGCCAGACACCAAGACTATTAGAAGAGCGCAGCTAGGCGCGCTGTGCATCAGAGAGGCTTTGAAAACCAGTTTCATGACTGGCCAGGCTACGGTGTGACAGCTGTATGTGTGTTGTTGCTGCAAACCGGCCCCCTTTGTTGATTTTAATTCCCTGTAAGCCAACCACCCTCCCCCTTTGATCACAGCTGGCAAAGGAAATAAAGTAACTATTGTTTTGAAACCATGCATTCTTTCTTTATTAATTAAAAAAAAGTGAGATTCGTGACAAGGTAGTTCGGGTGGGCTGGGGTGCAGGAGGAGGGAATGACAAGGCCACATGGCTTATTGTAGCCACACTACAAATCAAAACAGTTCAAATGACAGCCTTCTGTTGCTTGGGCCCTCCTCTGGAGTGGATTGGCTGGGTGCCTGGAGCCTCCCACGCCTGCGTTCTTGGGCATCTGGGTGAGAAGGATATGGAAGTTGGGGAGGAGGGCAGGCAGTTATATAATGGATGCAGCGGGGGTCTGTGCTCTTGTTGGCTTTCCTGCAGCTCCAACAGACGCTTCATCATGTCCATTTGCTCCCCCATTAGCCTCAGTATTGCCTCCTGCCTCTGCTCTTTGTGCTCACTTAATGCTTTACTGGTCTCTGCCACTGCATGCCTCCATGCGTTAAGCTGTGCCCTGTCAGTGTAGGAGGACTGCATGAGCTCTGAAAACATGTCATCACACGTGCTTTTTTTTCACCTTCTGATCTGCGATAACCTCAGGGTTGGAGATGGTAGGGGAAGCATAGAAAAATTTGCACTTGGGGGGAGATAAAAAGGGAGTAAAATTTAATGTGATACCTTTCTGAGAACAAAAGGGAGACTTTCACAGTGAATCAAGCAATTCACAGCACATGTGCTTTAGCTACAAGGTCACATTTTGCCTTTTATATTGAGTGCCTGCTGGTATGGTGGCACCATCACACACGGCTGGGCAACAGAATTCAATTTCTAGGCAGCCATGGTAAGCCTTTTGGTATGCGGGGTTGGCTTCTTCCACCTTCATAACATGTGGGAATGGTTTCAAACAGTACCGCCATCCTTTCCCATAGCAAGCAATGCTGCTTGGGTTTCACATTTAAAAGGAGGGGCTATGGTTTTGGGGTGGATGAGCCCTTCACCCCTCCCCCTGCCGCGTGGCTATTCTCTGGGATGAGCCCTTCACCCCTCCCCCTGCCGCGTGGCTATTCTCCGGGATGAGCCCTTTTAGCCAATCGCAAACAACCCAACATGAACAGGGTCCTTTTACTGTTCCTTTACAAAAACTCTATTTCAACCAGGTGACCATGAATGACATCACTCTCCTGAGGCTAACACAGAAAGATAAAGACCAAATGTTGCTTGAATGTGACCAAATCCCAGGACCATTCGCTGCCATGCTTTGTGCTGCAGTGATTCCAGACTACTTGCTACTGGCTTGGCATGGTAAAGTGTCCTACCATGGAGGACGAAATAAGGCAGCCCTCCCCAGAAACATTCTGCAAAGGCTTTCTGAGTACCTCCAGGAGAGCTTCATGGAGATGTCCCAAGAGGATTCCCACTCCGTCCCCAGACATGTTAACAGACCTTTCCAGTAGCTGTACTGGCTGCAAATGCACCCCAATTCTTCAGGGCAAAGCAAATATTAAACACTATTGCTTTTAAACCCTGTACTGTAGTTACAAATATGCACTCAGAAGTGCCTTCTCTGGCTTCAGTGTTGGGGATCCCGCCTTGGGAAGGTATTGGCTCCAGGGTGAGGAAAAGATTCTGGCTGCCGGGGAGAATGGATTCATGGCTTGCCTGCTGCACATTCTTCTCCTCCTCCTCTTCCTCATCCACAAAATCCTCCTCCCTGTTGCGTGAGAATCCCCCCCCTTGAAGATGTCCATGGACACTGGTGGGGTAATGGTAGGGTCCCCCCCTAGAATGCCATGCAGCTGATCATAGAAGCAGCATGTGTGGGGCTCTGACCCAGAGTGACCATTTGCCTCCTTTTGCCTTTTAGTAGGCTTGCTTGAGCGCCTTAACTTTCATGAATCACTGCTGTGTGTCCCTGTTGTAGCCTCTCTCCACCATGCCCTGTGCGATTTTTGGCATAGATGTTTACATTTCTTCTTTTTAATCAGGGTTTGGCCTGCACAGATTCTTCCCCCCATACAGCAATCAGATCCATTGTCTCCCTTTCGGTCCATGCTGGAGCTTGTTTGCGATTCTGGGGGGACTGCATGGTCACGTGTGGTGCTGAGCTCGCCACTCTGACCAAACAAGAAATTAAATTCAAAATTTCCCAGGGCTTTTCCTGTGTATCTGGCTAGTGCTTCAGAGTTGAAAGCGCTATCCAGAGTGGTCACACTGGAGGACTCTGGGATAGCTCCCGGATGCCAATACCATCGAATTGTGTCTGCACTATCCAAAATTCGACCCAGCAAGGTCAATTTTAGTGCTACTCCCCTCGCCGGGGGGAGTACAGAAGTTGATTTTAAGAGCCCTTTAGGTCGATGGAAGAGGGTTGGTTGTGTGGACGCATTCATTTTAAAATCGACCTAATGCGGCTAAATTTGACCTAACCCCGTAGTGTAGACCAGGGCTAAGATACAACCGTTCCTGTTTATCCACTCAGCTAAAATTCCTCCAGACTCTTATCAACTCATGTCTCAGTTACTGAATACAATCTTTTTCTCTGGCCCAGACAAATGCAATCGTGCCCCATTCATATCCATTCA